TAGGTAATCATTACAATTTGACTTTGAAGGGCAGCCGTGGAAATTTTCCACAAATTTCGATTGTTTTATTCTACGAACTGTATTGTTCAACATTCTTTAGTATTCTTTGTTTATTTTGTAATTGTCATTTTCCCATGACATTTGATGTTAAAAAACACAAAATTCTTGGATAATTGTTAAGGACCGGATTTGAACTAAAAAATGATCTTTGTGATGATGTTTCATCATTGTGGCTATTGTGGTGTGCTGAGATACGAAACAAAGCTATGAAATAATGCTTCCTCCTGACATGGTCAAATAGTTTTCCAAGAAAGGATTACACAAGTTGTAATGGTTTCCACTTTACACCAAACTGCGGTCATCTGTATTATGTTGTTGTGGTTGCTTTTGTAAAACCCAAAATGAGGGGAAGGACATACATAGATTCGTTGTAATATATGTATGTATATATTTGGTTTTATATGGACTTTTAAATGATGATATTTTTTATACCCTCTACAGAATATGGAGGGTATACTTAGTTCGTCAGTCCGTTAGTAGCTCCTCGAAACAAAACTTTTAGACACCACAAAGTATATATGTCAAAAACATAAAAGTTTAAAAGATAGGACAAGAAAGAGTCAAAACATTGTCCCCAGTTGAATTTGTCACCGTTGTTATAATATCATCGCAAAAAAGTTACCAATATTAAGTGATTTTAATCCCTAACAGTACGTTTAAATATAAAGGGGTTAACCCACTGGATTTTGAACTAAAATTGTCACATCCATTATTTATATTACAGAAAAATCCTCTTAAAGTAGATTAACCCCACAAAAAGCTCTAACGTAAACATGACATAAGTCAATATTTGAACGCATATTTAGTTTGACTGTAAATTTCATTTCTCAAGCTGCTCCATAATTTTTTATACTCTCTGATAATGGCTTAAGAGGGAACATATCATTTGATACGGCCAAAACGTGCCTCATCGAAATAAAGGTTATAGACTCTATGTCTCTTTGGACCAAATCCATTTCAGAACATTTGGAGTCGATCTAGCGATATCCGTCCGTATATCTAGCTGGCTGGTACGCACGTTAAATCTCAAAAGCAGTATCCGATTTGGCCCAAACTTGGGACATCGTAATATTATTATCAAACTTAGATCGAGATCGGAGATGGACAATATCGGTCCACTCCTTCTGATATCTCCCCCACAAAAAGTTGAAATTTTCACAACCAATATTGAACAACACAGAATGAGGAAGGATAATTCGATTTTCTCCAACTTTGCACTCCATAGTATTCGCAGCAGTGCTAGGTCGCCCCCCATAAAGGGTCAACATTTTAAATAATTTAAACTCTTATAAAATGTGATGTAAGAGACCAATTCTTTTAAAATTCCACACATCACAATATTTTTATTAACACAAGATCTGCTGTGATGATGGTGTATATCTATCCATCCCTTTTTGGTACCTCACCCGCAAAAGGTCAACATTTTAAATATCCATGAAGCTCATAAAACGCGAAATTAACATCCGATTCCATTCGGACTTGGTACATCTCAATATTTCCATCAACACAAGATATTTTATAAAGATGGTAGAGATCGGACCATTTCTTCTGGTCCCTCCCTCACATAGGGTTCAAGATTTTTAAAAACAAATCGCTCAAACAGAGCAAAATAAGCATTAAACTCTCTTCAAATTGCACACATACAAACATTTTTGCTAACACAAGATCTGTTGTGAAGATTATATATATATCTGCGAACCCTTTCTGGTACTTAACCCACAAAAGGTCACAATTTTCAATACTTATATCTGTCATAAATTGCAAAACTGGTCAGTGATTCTTTAGAACTTTCTATATACACAAGTTAAGATAAATATAGAATTTAAAATTGGATATGAATTCTCGATTTCCTTGTAATTTTGCCCATACCAGTGTTTTTGTCTTTATTGGATGAAGTATGAAAATAGGGTAATTCGGTCGACTATATCTGGTACATTACGCACATTTAAACATTTTCCCAAAAATATCACATATCTTATGTGAAGTGAAGCAAGGAAACCTTATGAGATTAACACTTACTTATTATAGAATTAAATTGAACGAAAGTATAACAAGTGGAGAAAGATGTAAATGTTTATAAGAGCGGTTGTAAGATTTTGAAGGCTTTCCAAAATAAGTTTAGTTTTATTTAATTCTTTGGTTCCTCTTCTACTGAGCTTACGATCTCGTCACTTGGGTAAAAAATGTTTTTTTTTTTTTCATAGAAGTTATTTTTAAAATAACTTCTGGGGAGAATATCCCAGACAAAAAACAAGGGAACTGATGAGGATTGGTGGCTCTTTCCGAAACCTAGGTATTCCCTGCCTTACCCCCTGGTAAACATTGCCATCGTTCTCCACTAATAAACAAACGTTGTTTTTATAAAAAAAAACAATAAAGGGATAAAGCCTGACCATTTTGCAAGAACAAAATACTACGGTATCCCGAACAAACAAGCCAACACTGTTCTAGAATTAAATTCTTTCTAAAAAATAACTACTTATTTGGTGCGAAATATCCTTGCTAAAAAATGGTTTACTAACGCGATAATTAGTAATTTTTTTGTTGACTTCCCATCGTTGACAAGTAAAATTGAATTATATGTCACTGAACCTGCATTAGAAAAATTCAAATTACAAATGAAATAATTCGAATTATAATAGGAATAATTCTAATTACATTTGCAATTTTCGAATTTCAATTCGAATTACTAGTAAAATTCTCAAATTAAAATCAAAATATTACAAATTACATCTGAAAAATAGTAGTCCCTCTTTGATTGATCATTATAACATTGTTTGCTTTCTCATGTTTTTGTGTTATTTTTTTTACACATTTATCGCTCGAAATAACTTTGACAATTTGTGTAATTCATATTGCGTACATATGTACCTATACACATCTGCCAATCATATCGTGTTTCATAAAAAATAACAACAATTTCTTGCAATAAATGATTTGCATGACGCTAAATGCCGTATACATTTCTATAGCTTCCGTTCTCATTGGCATATTTTATTTTTCTTCTATTCTTTTTTTTTTTTTTTTGGCGGCGACAGGATATGCCATTCCAATGTGCGAATATATCCGCGATGTGAAGAAGGAAACAAAAGTGAATGTTGAAAATATGAAATAAATTGTATACCAGCAAAGAAAACAATTTCGATACAAAACAATATTTGCTGGAAATCGATAGGGATGATGCAATTAATATTTCAAACATATCAATGTCTTGAAGTGGCAGTTAGTTGAAGAGGCTACATGGAATATTTGCGTCATGTAAGCAGGGAGTTTCATTTAGTCGTCGTAGCTACTTAGAAATCCACCTACTTGCTCATCATTATACCCTCCATCATAGTATGGATCAGCATAAAATTCTACGCCGATTTAACGATGACCGTCCATTTGTCTGTCCGCCCGTCTGCCTGAACGTCTGTGGAAATCACTCTAGCTTCGGAACGAATTGAAGTAGGTTGATAAAATGTTACTCAAATGTGTTTGTATATTTCTAAATTTGTTCCAAATGGTGGAGGGTATTCAAAGTGTGGCCCGGACTAAGTTACCGTGTTTTAACTTGTTATACACTACAATACAGTGTTGGTGGCATTTTAAGTTTGTTCTGCTTAAATAAAATAACAAAAAATATAAATAAAGCAATAAAAACAAACATTTTATCAAAATCTTTGGGAAATATTTATTAAAAAAAAACAAATAGAAAAGCTGTAAGTTTGGCAGGGCCGAACTTGGAATACCCTCCACCATTTGGAACAGATTCGGCAATTCTCAAAAAATAAAATCCGTTAAAAATTCTGTTAAAATATTAAAAATACTGAATGTAGCCGCATATTAGTGTCTATACGAGGACGTGGATCTGCATAGGCAACTTTTGTGATTAGCTATTACAATATTCAAAAGTGAAACTTCAAAGAAAACTGTTTATAATGTAGCTCAAATCATCAAAATACCGAATATGGGGAGGTACCATGGGGGTTATAAAACGTGGACTTGCACAAACAACTTTCTGTCATAGGCTGTAGTATCCAATACGAACTTCAAATACTAAATTTCAATTCGTTCGGAAACTATAGTGATTTCCACAGACTGATGGACGTCGATAAATCTACATAGAATTTTATGCTGTTCAAGAATATATATATACTTTGTGGGGTCTAAATGATGTTACAAACGGAATGACAAACTTAATATACCCTCCATACTATGGTGGAGGGTATAAAAATTGATTGAGAATTTTTCTTTACATAGAATGTAAATAATGATTTCATTTCTTTGGAAGCTGATAGTGAAATTTTACGCTGTATATTTATACCCTACAAAACTATGTGTTAGGAGTAATAGAAGTTCGATTGGGCCAAAAAAGGTTTACAATAGACCAAAAACCTAAAAATTGTCTAGATTTTGCAGTCGCCATACAATTTTAAACTAAGGACCAATAGACATTGAATTTTTTATGATGTTAGAGTTTAGGATCGGCTCTGAAGCCTAACATTTTGGATGATCATCGGATCGGATAATATTTAGCTGGTGAAATTACAAATGCATAAAAGGCATACCTCTGAATTTTACATAAATGCTGATTTCGTTGACGAATATAGCTAAATATGAGTGAATCTAAATCTTCAAATAATGTTTTGAATGCCTATTAATAGGACATGGGCGTAAATAGGGAGTAAATGCTACGAATATTTGCATCAGCTCTTGGTTTCGGTCAAAAGTGAAGATAAAAGTTTTGCAGGACTATGTGATACTATTTCGGGAATGAAATGAGAATAAAATGTTCAATGTGTATGGAGAATTATTTTTGAATGTTCATTTTCTGTTCTAGCCGAAAGAGCGAATTAGAAGCAACATCTGGTTCACCAAATACTGTTGCATTTTTAGGCATGGTGTTTTTGGAAAATTTTAATTTCAAATTTGTTACGATTATTGAAAAAGAGGATCAATTAGGCTCAACATTTGCTTTTATTATGTTGTAGATATGGAAATGCAATTTAGGGGAATCATCATTCTAGTAAGAAAAGGTTTCAGATCCGCAGAAACTTACCGCATATTGTTTTTAGTATATTTAGAGCAAAGTCAAAGTCGTTTACAACAATTTCGGGGAGGACCAACAATGATTCGGCTAAAACAAATGAGGAATATCTTCTAAATAAATTTGATCCTTGAATATCAATGAGACATCTATAGTCTACAGACGAGTCATTGACGACTGACGAGCGATTTGTCTGAGATTGACGGGCCAACGATAAATTATTAACTATCGACTTACAGTCGACGGGCATCTACGATGTATTACGAATATATGTTTACCTACTTACGAGCTATTAACATGAAGTTAGAAGCGATCGGTTAGCTATTGAAGAGCTATGCAGGAGCCATCGAAGAGCTTGCTTCCGGGTATTGAGTAGTTCGATGATTCATCGAGCGACATTGAATTAAGATGTCAATATTTTTAACCTTTCATTTAATGTGTTTAGGGTTCCAGTAAAACTGACAAAAACACGCTAGAATAGAAACAGAGATATAAAATTTTATCTTTATGTGCCATAAAGACGCAAGCAAAAAACTTCGTCCTGACTTAGTTTTTAATCAGCTGTCCAATTCTAATATTGCATTCCCAAATTAATTAAATATATCGCGATTTAAAGATTGCCTTAAAATACTTACCAGCTTACATGGGATTGATGCTAGATATTTGATAGTATTCACACCCGTTTGGCACCATTAGCGAAGCGGATTCTTCTTTATAAAATGTTGGAAAGCGAGAATTTGGAATTTCCATCCATAGACACTAGATATTCAACGATTCCTTCTTTCAACAATGAATATTAAAAGTTAGACTTTAATTTCAATTTTGTATTTTTTGGAAACTTAAATAAAAATGAAAAACATATTTTTTCATATTTTGTCAAAAATACTGACAAATAAGACAATGCAAAACACATTTATATGGAAAACAAACAAGTTAAAAAGAATCAAGTAAAAAGTATTTGCCCACAGATTTACGCTCTCAGCCTATGTCCTTTTATTAATTTTTAATTAATTTTTATTAATTCAGTCCAGAAGCAAGTAAATCAAATTTGGAGAAAATCGGTTTAGATATAGCTATAGGTCCCATACACATGTTTCGTCCGATTTAGAGTTTAAGTCCCTCACACGCGTAATATGCCTTTGACAACAATGGCAAATATCAAATACAGCTCTGAAATAAGTGTACCAAAAATTCAGATTTGGATATAGCTCCCATATATATCTTCAACCGATTTCAGGTTAATTGTTCACCAAATAGCCAATATCAGTCCAAAAGACCTAAATTTTGGCATATCCAACCGAATTCAGTTTAGAAGCAAGTGCACTAAATTTGGTGAAAATCGGTTCAGATATAGCTATAACTCCCATAAATATGTTCAATCCGATTTGGGGTTTAAATGAATATGCATTTTACAATAATGATATTATATATATATATATATATATATATATATATATATATATATATATATATATATATATATATATATAGCTCACATATTTATGTGGCTAAGTCCCTCACATTCGTAATATACATTCGACAACAATGATATTTCGTATCATATATCTTTTAGAGCTCGGAAATGCATTTGCCAAATTTTATCGAGATCGACTAAGATTTAGATATAGCTCGTCACTTGGGTAAAAAGAGTTTTTTTTTAATAAAAAAAAAAAAAACATTAATAGTTTTTATACCCTACACCACATGGTGGTAAGGGTATTATGTCTTTGTGCATTTGTTTGTAACATGGAGAAGGAAGCGAGATAGACTCATATTTACTTTTGAGGATCTCCGTAGAATCACTTTCTGAGTTGATTTATGTAAGTCAGTCCGTCTGTCCGTTCCTCCGTCCGTCTGCCTATGTATTCTTGTGAACAAAATGCAGTTCGCATTTATTATCCGATTGATATGAAATTTTCCAAACAACATTTGTTTGGCCCAAGGACGAACCCTATTGAAAATGGAGATAATCGATACATTGTACACCAAACGTGTAATATCAGCCCGAATTGTATGAAATTTTGCACATACAACCAAATTAGGCATAATAAGATCAAAATATATATTGTTCATCCGATTTGTAATTTTTGTTCTCCGCAGCCGTAATATGCATTCTGTAACAACAATATTTGGGGAAATATATCAAATGCAGCTCAGAAATACCTTTGCTAAATTTTATCGAGATCGGTTCTGATTTGGATATAGCTCCCATATATAACTTCGTCCGAATTACCTTTTATTGTGCACCAAACGTCTAATATTTGCCCAAATGGGATGGAATTTGAGTCTAGAAGGTAGTATGCCAAATTTGGTGAAGATAGGTTCAGATATAGCTATAGCTACCATATATATTGTTCATCCGATTTGTTATATTTGTTACCCACAGCCGTAATATGCACTCCGTAACAACGATATTCAGAGAAATATATCAAATACAGCTCAGAAATATCTTTGCCAAATTTTATCGAGATCGGTTCAGATTTGGATATTGCTCCCACATATATCTTTATCTGATTTCAATTTAATTTTGCACCAAATGGTCAATACCAGTCCGAATTTAAAAGATACAAATGCTTCGGTATAATTAGTCTTTTGAACTTTAAATTATCCAATAAAAACTTTGAATTGTTATGTGGAGCTCTATTAAATTAGCAAAGTGGCGTAGGGTATCACAAAATTGGCCCCCCCGACTTTAGGACTTTCTTTACTGGTTTGTTTTTGTTATAGAAGTTATTTTTAAATGACTTATGGGGAGAATATCCCAGACAAAAAACAAGGGAACTGATGAGGATTGGTGGCTCTTTCCGAAACCTAGGTATTCCCTGCCTTACCCCCTTGTAAACATTACCATCGTTCTCCACTAATAGTGAAACGTTGTTTTTATAAAAACAACAATAAGGGGAATAAGCCTGACCATTTTGCAACAACAAAATACTACGGTATCCCGAACAAACAAGCCAACACTGTTCTAAAGCTCACATATATATCTTTAATCCGATTTCAGGTTTATTGTGCAAATATTGGCTAATATCGGCCGAAATGGAGTGAATTTCGGGACGTAATATAATCCTTCTCGAAGCGATATCATGTACTCTATATCAATATTATTCGGTATAAAAGGTTAAAATGTCTCCTCCAAATTTAGTGAAAAACTATTTAGAATTGGGTATGGCTTCCATATATTAGGTCCCTCTGAATCCAAATTATAACTGCTATAAAGCCAAAAGTTGATTGGTCGACTGATCTACTTCAAATAAATTCTTTTGTTACAAAAGCTCTATCAGATATGGATAGTGGTATAGGGTATCATATAGTCGGCACCGCCCGACTTGTTGATTTTTCCTTACTAGTTTTAATTTGTTTGTGTTCCACATAATAGCATGTTCACACGGTAAATTGAATGACGTTGTTTGCTCTCAGAATCACGTACACGAACTAACCTGTTCCCACGATACGTTCGTAGTTACATCTGACAACTTCATTTATGGTTATACACAATTTTTCGTTTTTTTTTTTATTTAAAGAAAAATTAATAAAAATGGCTCAATTCGAAAAAAAATGTAAGTAAAAATACTAATATAAAAAAGAATAATGTTTTATTGTTTTAGGCATCCGAAAAACTCCCAACAAATGGGGTACAATAAGTGAACGGGCTTTGTTGGAAGTGTGGGGATTATTTATGAGCCAGCTACGTGGATGTCGAAAAAATAGCCACATTCTTCAAGAAATGGCGTCCGAACTCGGGAAACATGGGTTTTCGTATACATCCCACGAAATAAAAACCAAGATGCACAACATGGCTGCGAGATTTAGGTATGTTTTTGAACATTTCAATTTGCATGAAGTTTCATTGCCTCCGACTTCGATCATGGTGGGAGGAGCTTCTGCGGATGTGTTTGTTTGCATCAAAATTCGTTCGTTATTACGCAAGGATAGGTACAATATTCTCGCAACTTGTCATTTTAAGTTAAGAATGACAGAAAGTTTGTCTTCCAACGCGCTTGTTGTAGATGCTAGATGCTATTGCTAGATGATAGCTTCTTTACTTTTGAATATTTACAATCTGTAACGTATGTTTTTATTTACTTTATAAAAACCATGTTTTTTATAGGAAGGAAAAGCGCCTAGTTGGTACAACCGGAGGTTCACCATCAGATTGGGAGCTATATAAAGAAATGGAAATGTTGCTAGCACCTTGCAAGACCTACAATACTGAGTTCCTTGTTTTGGACAGTGTCAATGGTAAGAATAAAATTAATAAAAAAAATATATTTGTTATTCTCACGTTGTATATTGCTCAGATATTGATGCCATATTGACATGCGAAGTGTCCAACTCCCCACCCTCTTCACCAATCATTCCTAGTTCCTCTTCACAATTAAATACAACTGACCTATCGTCGGAATTACCATTCACATCATCATCGAAAAAGAGAAAAAGGGAAAAAGAGCATGCTGAAAAGGTGGAAAGAAAAATTGACATTTTAATAGAGATAGAACAAAGAAAGGAGGCTATAGAAGAGAAGAAGGAGGCTTTGTTAAGAAGCTTTGTGGAGAGGGAAGCGGAAGTACAAAAGGCTTTGGTAGATTTTTTAAGAAATGCTTAAAATTGAATATATATTTATGATATGTAACGACTTTTCTTTTAAACTGCTTATATTTCCTTTAATTATAGTTTGCTCTTACTATCTTAATTAAATACTTTGATTAGTTTTAATTTTCGTTTCAATGTACATACATTTTATTTTATTTATCATTCAATGTAACATTTGTTTTTTTTTTCTAAAATTAAAAATATATACAAAAATTATTTTGAGTATGTATGGGCGGAATGCTAGTAGATATGAAAAAAAATATATATATATATATATATATATATATATATATATATATATATATATATATATATATATATATACACCATTTCCATTTTCAAAAACAATTAAACTAATTCTTCAAAATGCAGCTTAAATATGTACATAGTTATATTAATGAAACATAATGAATTCTAACGAAATAAATGAATAATGAAAATAAATAATAATAATATACTAATTTATATCTTGAAAATTACAGACGGTTTCTCCAGAAGGGAACGTATATTCTTCCTAAACATTTAAAAATGAATTAGCTTCATCAATATTGTACAAGTTATCCTCTTCGTTACAACAATTTTTTTGCGCTTAAAAAATAGTAAAGAATATATATTTAAAAAATGAATGCCAACATATATTTAATGTGCTTATGTCAACTCTTGTTTGATAATAGCATTTTACTAAGAACAATAATACTTACATAAATATATTGAAATAGCATTTCGTATTTCTTCGCCATTATGGCCGCTGCTTTGGTCTGTAAGAATTGTTATTTCTTCAGGATAGGATCTATTTGCCTCAACTGATTGTAATGCTTTCATCCACTTGTCGTTAACAGCATCATTGTGCTCGCTGAGAAAATTATGAAGAGCACAACAAGATAATATGACTGCATTGGCATACTTTAGAGCATTATCTATGCCTTTTCCGATTCGTCGGAAACGTGCCTTAAGGTGGCCAAAGGCATTTTCAACTACTCTGCGTGATTTTGACAATGCGTAATTAAAGCATTTTTGCTCGAGATCTTGTGATAGTTGAAATGGATAAGGTTTCATCAACTTGTCGCTTAATTTGAATGCCGAATCGCCGATTATAAGGGCAGGAACCTCAACGCCCAAATATTTCGTTTTACTTCCTTTAAATGACTGCATTCGTTAAGCTGCTGTTTGAGGGAAGAACCTTCAAAGATCTGAGAATCGTTGCAACGTCCTGGACTCCCACAACTAACATAAATGAAACGACATCTGAAATAAAAAAAGTATGTAGAAATCAGTTATAAAAGGATAAAAGTCGGACTGGCCGACTTTATGATACGTTACAATACTGTTGTTAGGTGCACCAAATATAATAGGTTTACTTTTTGGCTTAATTCGGCCACTTGTGTCAAATTTCATCCCATTTGATGCACACACAAGTAGACGTCTATCTCACGACACAATACCCTGCACCATAGTGGGGCGTAAGATATAAAAAGTAAATAAAATGTAAGTGTTAGTACTTACCTCGCATCTACCAATGCAAGGAGTACGACTGAGTACCATCTCTTGTAGTTGTAGTAATCTGTAGCGTCTTCCTTGGATGGATGAACCTCAATGTGGCAACCGTCTGCAAACGTTAACATAATAATAATAATAATTTAAATACAACTTTTCAAAATTCACCCAGAGCACCTATACATTGCGGAAACCCTAGTATTTCAAATTCTTGACAGAGTACTTCTATCTTTTCTCTTGTTAAGTGGAAATTTTTTAAATAAATTGGAGCAAGAATTCTCCAGACCTCATTACAAAACTGCAAGAGTATTTTACACACTGTACTTTTTCCAACTCCAAACATGTTTGCTATTGTGCGGTACTCGGCAGAAGATCCCAAGGTATATAAACCTATTGCAACTCTTTTTTCCAATGGTATTGCCTCTCGCATATTTGTATTAGATTTTTGTAGCCCATTTAGCAATTCACACAATTTATTGAAAACCTCTCTGCTGACCCGAAAGATTGAAAAGATTGCAAAAACTCAATGGTCAAATATTTACAATTCGCAGTTCTCTCAAGAAATACGGATTAATCTTGTTCCGTTGTATCGGACAGACACACATTACCCTTTGCCAACACAATCGTTCCGATTCATACAATGTGTGGAATTCCAAGGCATTCACCAGAGTTAGCTGCTTCCTTACATCGCAACTGTCTTTTTCAAACAAGGTGAAAGACGCGAGCCTTCTTCGACTTATAATTAGTTTTTTCACAAATTTCTTTTTTTTCTCCATTGTACACTCCTATGAAAAAATAACTAATATAGGTTATATGAAAAACGCGTTTTTGTTCGCTCACATTTAATTTATCGTTTCCATTGAATTCACACACATTTTTATTAATTAAAAATTCTTCAATTACTTTCGCAACGGACACAATAATTTGTTTATTTTTTGACAAGCGGTTCACAAATATGACACATTTTCGATAAATGCTCTCATTTTTTAGTGATGGGACATATTTTTTCGTTGTTCTGAGAGTGATTTGATTTGAACAATGTAAAAATATGAGTGTTCGCTCAGGAAATTTTGTGTGGAGAATTAAGTAGTTTTTCCGTAGTTTAGGGCCAAACAACGAATAGAGAGCGAATCAAGTGCCGTGGAAACGCCACATAATATATTTTGCATTGTGTTATTTGTCAGTAGTTTTGATTAATAAATTCTATTTTTATTTTATTTGAACAAATACAAAATGGGAAACAAAAATTTAAGTTTTAATAATCATTATTGAAAGAAAGAAATCGTTGAATACCTAGCGTTCGTGGATGGACATTTGCTACCGAAACAGAATACTTACAATCCTTTTGAATTGGAAATCTCAAATTCTCGATTTCCCATACTTTATAAAAAATCCGCTTCGCTGATGATGTCAAACGGACGTGAATACTATCAAATATCTACCATAAATACCAAGTAAGCTGGTAAGTATTTTAAGGCAATCTTTAAATCGCGATATATTTAATTAATTTTGGAATGCAATATCAGAATTGGACAGCTGATTAAAAACTAAGTCAGGACGAAGTTTTTTGCTTGCGTCTTTATGGCACATAAAGATAAAATGTTATATATCTGGTCCCTGCTATTGTAGCTTGACAATGTGAATGGCAGCTTTTCTGGAACTTTAAACAAATGAAACCAATGGTTACAAACATTGACATCGTATTTTAATGTCGCTTGATGAATCATTAAATAACTCAATATCCGGAATAAGGCTCTTCGATGGCTCCTGGATAGTTCTACGATAGCTAGCCGGTCGCTTTTTAACTTCATGTTGACTACTCGTAAGTAGGTAAACATATATTCGTAATAGATCGTAGTTGCCCGTCGACTGTAAGTCGATAGCTGGTCAATGAGTGACAAATGTATCAACGATAGAATGTCGGTAGGGCGTTTAGAGCTCATCGGTAGTTGGTCGATAATCACTGTTACCACGTCAATCTCTGATCAATCGCTCGTCGGACATCAATGACCCATATGTAGAGCATCCATTTTTCATTAATATTCAAGGTACCATTTTTATACCCTAGCATGGAGGATATATAAAGTTTGTCATTCCGTTTGTAACACCTCGAAATATAAATTTTAGACCACACAAAGTATATGTATATATTCTTGATCAGCATAAAATTCTATGTCGATTTAGCGATGTCCGTCCATCTGTCCGTCTGTGTAAATCACTCTAGCTTCCGAACGAAATGAAGTAGGTTGATAAAATTTTATTCAAATGTATATTATGCCTGCAGGACTATTTTTATTGAAAATGGGCCATGTAGGTCCACTTTTTGGTATAGCACCCATATAATTGGGATAGTTTGGTGATTTAAGCGACATTATTCAAATTTTGTATTTGAAGTTCGCAATGGATACTACAGCCTATGACAGAAAATTTTGTGTGCAGGTCCACGCCTTCGTATAGCCACCATATAACGGCAACTCCGATATTCGGCATTTCGATGATTTTAACGACACTATTCACCGGAATTGTTTCAAATTTAGAATTTGAAGTTCGTAATGGATACTACAACCTATGACAGAAAATTGTCTATGACAACCTAAATCATCGTTAAGTGTAAATGAGAGAGAGAGATAGATACCAACTGTTCACATGCCTTTGCACCATGCCACCATAAACCTTAGGGGGAGGTCATAAACACGCATAGCTATCTCACATGTGGCAAGCAAACATGCTGCACTTGCTTATCAGTTTGGGTAAAGATTACATCCCGTAATCTAACTCTACCATAACACATGCAGGAATTGAAAATTCTATATTATTTATTTCTAACTCGAAGGTCTGCTCGCCACATGTTCTTATCATATTTAATGAGATCCCTGTTTAACAAATTCCTCTCATCTACACTAGGTAGCCCCGCTATTCTCTTTTATTATAAAAACATGTTCACTTCTCCGTGAACACCCCATATAACAGTACCTCCTGAAATTCGGCATTTTTATGATTTTAGCTGCATTATTCATCGATTTTTTTCAAGTTTCGCATTTGAATATTGTAATGGCTTATGACAAAAGTTACTTATGCAGGTCCATGTCGTCGTATAGTCTCTAATATAACAGCTACATTTGGCATTTTTAAGATTTTATCAAAAATTTAAAGAAATTTTATTGTTTTTGAGAATTGCCAATTTCGTTCCAAATGGTGGAGCGTATTCATAGTTCGGCCCGACCGAACTTACACCTTTTTTACTCGTTTATTTCTCGAATTTAGATAAACTATATATGCAGTTTTAATATAGTTCTACATAGACTTTCCATCTATTTGGATTTTTTTAAGTATTTTCCTTATTCCACAATCAAAGCTGCTGTAGTATCTATATTTCAACTAGAAATTTGCTCGACTTGGTTTTATTGGTAAATTGTATAGTGCCACAATTCAAAAGTAGATCTCAAATTTAATTGGGCGTGGCATGATGTTTATAGCTTCCGTCTGATGAATTTTACCTTAGAAAACCTTATTCTCTCCCAAAACTTACTTTGTAAATTCCACAGAACCTAAGTGTAATTTATACTAGAGCTACATTAATTCAAACAATTTTTTTGGCTCAGCTTGCCAATGTACTCCCGACACTAATCCCACTTACAACTAATTACTGTGACCTCTGATATGCAGTCAAGTTTGTTGTAATCCACTCATAAATATACATAATACGGGAAACGCTGCAGCGAGCTCTGTTTGAAGTGCATAACCACTTATAAGTCGTTTGCATGGAGAATAGAAATTCAGAAAATAAAATAAAATAAAATAACGATAAAATAAATGAATATAAATATCTTCATTTTTGTTCATTCGTTCGAATGAATGTGTCTGCGCAAAAGATTGCATTCTACCAGATTTAACCAGTAAGGAAAGCTCAAAGGTCGGGCGGGGCCGACTATATGATACCCTACACCACTATGCATAATTAGAGCTCTCGTAAAAAGGTTTATACAGGGCATTTCAGAGCTCTATGAGATATTTGGTACAAAATCAAAATCTATCTAATCCTATCGTGCATTTTACGAACTATAGCTATCTCTGAACTGGGTTTCTCCAAATTTGACGTATTAGCTTCTAGACTGAATTCGGTCTTATGTACGAAAATTAAGGTGATTCAGCTATTCCTGTGCTCCATCTAATACCTCGTAACAAATATCACGGTTGTGGAATGAATATTATGAATGTAAGGGACTAAAACTCTAAATCGGATGAAACATATATATGGTTGCTATATCTATATCTGAACCGATTTTCACTAAATTTGATATACTTGCTTCTAGGCTGAATTTGGTCCGATGTACTAAAATTCAGTCCATTTGGACTTTTATCGGTCATTTGGTCCACAATTAACCTGTAATCGGATGAAGATATATATGGGAACTATATCCAAATCTGAACCGATTTCGATAAAATTACAAACAGCTATTTCTGGGCTGTATCTTATATCTGGTACCAAATATCATTCTTGTGGAGTGCATATTACGAATGTGAGAGACTTAAACACCAAATCGGATAAAATATATATATGGGAGCTATAGCTGTTTCTGAACCGATTTTCTCCAAATTTGTTGTATTTGCTTTAAGGCTAATCTCGGTCACATGTGCCAAAATTCGGGCCATTTGGGCTGATATTGGCCATTTGGTGCTCAATTAACCCGAAATCGGATGAAGATATATATGGGAGCTATATCCAAATCTGAACCGATTTCGATAAAATTTAAAACAGCTATTTCTGTGCTCCATCTAATACCTGGTACCAAATATCACGGTTGTGGAGTGCATAGTAGGAATGTGAGGGACTTAAAGATCAAATCGGATGAAAGATATATATGGGAGCTATAGCTATATCTGAACCGATTTTCTCCAAATTTGATATACTTGCTTCTAGGCCGAACTTGGTTGGGTGTGCCAAAATTCAGGTAATTTGGACTGATAGTGGACATTTGGTGCACATTTAATCCGGAATCGGATGAAGATATATATGGGAGCTATATCTAAATTTGATCCGATTCTCACCAATTTCAATAGGGTTCGTCCTTGGGCCAAAAAAATATTGTTTGGAAAATTTCATCTCAATCGGATAATAAATGCGACCTGCATTTTGTTCACAAGAATACATGGACGGACGGACGGACAGACGGACTGACATGCGTAAATCGACTCAGAAAGTGATTCTATGAAGGTTCTCAAAAGTAACTATGGGTCTTTCTCGTTTTCTTCTCCATGTTACAAACAAATGCACAAAGACATAATACCCTTGCCACTATGTGGTGTAGGGTATAAATATAAACCGGAGCCTGGAAATGTACGTCCGAATCTCCATTTGGGCTGATATTAGCCATTATTTGCGCTTTAAACCTGAAGTCGGATTAAGGATATATATGGGAGCTGTATCCAAATCTGAGCCGTTCTCGATAATGCATAATGCATGTCGAATGCATATTACGAATGTGAGAGACTTAAAGGCCAAATCGGGTGAATAATATATATGGGAGCTATGTATTTGATGTACTTGCTTCTAGACTGTATTCGGTTGGATGTGCCAAAATTCAGGACTTTTGGACTTATATTGGCCATTTGGTTCACAATTAGCACGAAATCGGTTGAAGATATACATGGAAGCTATATCTAAATTTAAACCGATCATTACCAATTTCAATAGGGTTCGTCCTTGGGCCAAACAAATATTGTTTTTGAAAATTTCATCTCGGTCGGATAATAAGTGCGACCTGCATTTTGGAAAAAAAGGACATGGACGAACGGACGGTCTGACATGAAAAATTCGACTCAGAAATTCTATGCAGATCCTCAACGTAACTATGAATCTATCTCACTTCTTTCTCCATGTTACAAACAAATGCACAAATACATGATACCCTTACCACTATGTGGTGTAGGGTATAACTACCGTGTCTTCTGTTTTAGCTACACTTTCATAATATGCTCGATTTCCCCGTTTAATATTTTTTGTGTTGCACAGTGTTATCAATATCGAATAGGCCACTCAATAAAAAAAATGTTTTGCCTTGTGTAACTTGTCAACATTAAAAAAAATATTTTTCATTTTTATTTAAATTTAGACATATACATAAGAATTAAACCTCTTAAAATTAAAAAAAAAAAAATAGTTGAATTATTAATGTCAATTGATGAAAACTTTGCTGCCTGACAGGAATATTGCAAGACCTTTATATTGCAAATACCAACATCCTATAAAGAAGAACCCAATTCGCTGGTGAGCCCTTGCAATGCCAACCATAACCATAAATTTCATCAACTATCTACCATCCATCCCAAATAATTGGGTAAGCATTTTGAGTTAATCTTTGGATCGCAACATAGTTTATAAATATTGATCAATATTGGTTGAGATAAGTATGTTTTCAATAAAATTATTGAAGATTTTCACTGAAACCGTAAACAAATCAACCCATTTTACCTCATTGTCGCGTCGATGATTTTAGGGGTTGAACCGACGAGAGTCATTGATGAGTCACCGATAGCCGGTTAATAACTTGAAGATGGGCCATCGATGGCCCTGAGAATGTTCTTCGATAGCTCATAAATAGCTAAATAAAATCAGTACCTCTTTCACTTCAGGTTAATAGCTTTTTAATTTTCCGCAATTGATCGTTGATAGGCCACCGAATGCTCTTCCATAGCTTATTAAAAGCCTAACGATATGTCATTGGCGATAGATCATCAACATTGATAGCTGGTCGATAGAAGATTCCTGAGCGATAGCACGTAGAAGGTTCATCAGTAGTTCATCTGTAGTCCATAGATTTTACGTCAACAATTCAAACTTAGCTCATCAAAGGCTCATTAATCACTGATAATTAGCACTTTTAAAGTTCAATAAAAGCCAGTACATAGATCTTTGGTAGCGCACTCATATCTCATCGATAAAACATTGAAAGCTCACCAACACTGGTTTACCATCGATTGTACGTTGATTACTAGCTGATAGCTTGTCTATATTTCCTCAGTAGCTCATCGGCTATTCTTCTCGACCGCTCATCGAAAGCTAAATGTGTGTTAACTTTTTATAACAAGGTTTTTGTTTAAAACAACGCATACATTGCGGCATCACTTTGACTCCGACTTCGGAGTTTATATCATATGATATGGCCTACAGATAATCAAGATCCAAGCTTACAATGCATGTGGAAATTCAACCCTCAAAATATCTAAAGGTAACATATCTAGATGTCTGTATGTGGGCTATAACCCACCCTCATAATAATGTTGACTGACTTATTATACCCTCAGCCTTATGGTTATATATAATTTGATTCGGCCAAAACGTGCCTCATTGAAATAACGGTTTAGACTCTAGGTCCCTTTGAATTAAATCCGTTTCAGGACATTTGGAGTCGAGCTAGGGATGTCCGTCCATTTGTCTGTCTGGCTGGTGTGCATTATAATTCTCGCAGAGAGTATCCGATTTGTTCCAAATTTATTACATCGTAATACTATTGTCAAACTAATATCAAGTTCGGAGATGGGCAACATAGGTCCACTCCTTATGGTACCTTTACCACAAAAGGTCTACATTTTCAAAGAAACTTATTTACAGCATCAAAAGAGAAAAGATCGTTTGGTTTTGTGAAAACTTTGCAAATCCCATTATATTTATTAGTGAAAATAGACAACATCGGTCCATTCCATCAAGTACCTACCACACAAAGGGTCAAAATTCGGAATAATTATACCTCTTATAAAATGAGAAATCAGAGTATGATTCATTTCAAATTTCACATTCTCAATGTTTTCATAAACATAAATTCTGGTCTGATGATGGGATAAAATTTTGAATGAACATGAAGCTCGTAAAACGTGAAATGAGCTTCCGATACCTTTCCAACTCGACACATGTTAATATTTCTATCAACACAAGATCTGTGGTAAACAATAGTGACTAACCCTTTCGGAACCTCCCCCACAGAGGTTCAGAAGCTTGAATAAACATAAAGCATGTCAATATATATGCAACAAACAAAATTTGACCGTCTGTCCCTCTCTTGTAATCACGCTAGAGTCTAAACAAATTAAGATGGGAAGCTAAAATTTTGCACAGATTTCTCTTTTGTCTGCAGGCAGGTAAAGTTCGAAGTAGGGCTATATCGGTCCACGATATCGTATAGCCCCCATATAACGGTACCACCCGATGTTCGGTATTTTGATGATTTTACCCACATTTTTCATCGGAATTGTCTGAAAATCCATACAAGGAGTCCCTTGTGGGTACTTTATACCTTGAAAGAGAATTATCTATATGGGTCCACGATATCGTATAGCCCCTATATAACGGTATCCCCGATATTCGCTATTTTGATGATTTTAGCCACATTTTTCAATGGTATTGTCCAAAATTCCACACAAGAAGTTCCTTTGGAGTACTTTACCCCCAGATATAGATTTGCCTATGGATGTCCACAATATCGTATATACCCCCATTTTAACAGAATTTTTAATGGATGTTTTTTTTTTTGAAAAATTTCTAATTCGTTCCAAATGGTGGAGGGTATTCAAAGTTCGGCTCAGCCTTACTGCTTTTTTTACTTATTTGTCTTTTATTTTTTATTTATATTATATTATTCATTTATTTGTATTTATATACAGGGTTGCCCATATTCGACGGACCCATGTTTTTTTTGGGCCCATTCCAATCGGCGAGGCTTGTCCGCAGGCAACATTCTTTGCGTCAATTGAATTTTGTACGGGAACAAATGCAAATCAATGCGAATAATCCGTTGTAAAGTGGACCGAGCCATGCCCAACTGCTGAGAACGGCGTTTTTGGGATGTTCTTGGGGACCTATCAACACTGGCTCGTACGGCAGCGATATTCTCGACCGATCGCCTTGGTCGACTTTTATATGGCCTCTTCGGATTAGAAAGAGCCTTACCAGTCGAAAATTTTTCGTATAAACGCTTAATGGTGTTCTTAGAAGGCGCACTTCGCACTTCTCGAATATGGGCAACCCTGTATATTCACGCATGGATTTAAATGAATATTGGCTTATTTATTCTGATTAAACTCCTTAGCTCTGTAAAACTGTTAACATTCGTTTACTTTCTAAATCCAGAAAAAAGGTAATACCTTGTACCATAGTGAGGCGTAACGTATAATAATATTGTCTACATTTAAATCATATGCAAAATAGGTTAAATGAAACACCAAGCTTATATGGCGCAAATATGCTATGTAACTTCTTCAAATAATTACCTCGCGAAGACATTGATATGTTTGAAATATTATCAATTTCCAACAAATAATTTTTGTATCGAAATTGTTTTCTTATTATTATACAATTTATTGAATATTTTTAAATTTCTCTTTTGTCTCTTTCTTCACTTCTTCCAGCGGATATATTTGCACATTGGCATGGTATCTTCTGTCGCCGCCAAAACAACAAACTCATAAGACGATGATGCTTTTCCTGATAATCTCCATATACGTTAAGAGATTTTCAAAATAAATTGAATATGATTTTAATGGTAAGTAATTTTTCAATCTCATAAATTCCGACATATGAAGAGAAATAAAATATGTCGATGAGAAAGGAAGCTATAGAAATGTATACGGCATTTAGCGTCATGTAAATCATTTATTGCAAGAAATTGCGTAAAGTTGTTATTTTTTATGAAACACGATATGATTGGCAGATGTGTATAAGTACATATGTAAGCAATATGAATTACACAAATTGTCAATGTTATTTCGAGCGATAAATGAGAAAAGAAAAATTAAAATATGAGAAAGCAAACATTGTTATAACGATCAATCAGATTTTAAGAACTCCATACACCAAGTTTTAAACAGTTCCGTTTAATATTGGGGGTAAAATCATGAAAATGTCGAAAATAGGGAGTTATCGTTACATGAAGGCAATACCAAATGTCCCAAAAATATCCAAATTTTTAGTGACTTAAAATACGTGGACTTGACAAAATGCATTTTGAGAAAATGGTTTGTGGCTACAATTTGACTAGGCGCGTTTTGACCGTATAATATATACCCTCTGTAGCCATATGACTGAGGGTATAAAAACAAAATATTTTCAAAATCAATGATTGGAAGAAAAAAAAAATTGCTAGATAATAATATTATCTAGATTTGCCACGGAATTGAAAAATTGAAAATTTAGGATCATATTTTTGATAGAAATTCCGGGCATTTCATTCATTTTTCGCGCTATCACACTCATTTTAAAAATGGACAAAAAATATCAAATAAATGATAACAACTTGTTGGATATAATCTTGAACAATTTCGACAGGAAGCGGGCATAGCCTCAGGGCTGTATTTCTGTAGGTTAACGAAGCCGTTCTACATTCTTATTGTACCATGAACGGTACTAAATTTGGTACAATTTAAGTGTGGAGGAACGGATGGAGCTGGTATCCTAACTTTTGAAATTAACATTACTGTCGAAGTTTAGGATTGGGTTCCGGAGGTAGTTTCGAATTTTTATAATTATGTGCACGAAAAGTACTAAATTTTATACAATTTCGATTTGGGTGAACCGATTCTCTATCGGTTCTCCTAGAATTTTGAATTATTCCAAATCAAATACCATTTAGTACACATAAGTACGAATTTACAAAATTACCTACATACCTCAGTCCTGCATTAGCAAACTTATTTCCAAATGTCAGCATTCCAGATCTATCGGTTCACCAAAATCGAAATTGTATTGAATTTTGTATCATTTAGTACACATGAAAACGAATTTCCAAAACTTCCTATGTACCCCAATCCCACAATGCAATAGTAATCTTATTTCCAACTCTATTGGCTCTCCCAAAATTTAAATTGTTTCATTCAATAGTAATTTTATTTCCAAATTTCAGCATTCCAGCTCTATCGGTTCCCCCAAATCTTTTCGTTCACATAAGTACAAATTTCGAAACTATCTTCATATCCCAATCCTATACTTCGCCAGCAAATGCTTGTATCGAAATTTAGGATCTCAGCCCCCTCCGTTCCCCCAAATTCAAATTGTACTAAGTTTTATTGCCGTTTAGTACTTTTCGTACGCACTTATAAAACTACCTCCTTACATCGGTCCTACTTCTCAACCTATATTCCCATTACAAATGCCAATTTTTTAACTCTAACCGTTCACATGACACAAAATGGTACGAAATGTAGCATATTTTAGTACTTTTCGTATACCTTTAGTGCTTATTTGGTACATCCATTATACACTCATCAGTGACCTTCGTTACAAATTTAAGAGTTCTAGCTCTCCTGATCCGTCAAATACAAAGGGAACCATGTTTAGTACATTTTAGAACTTTAAATATTTCCAAAACCCCAGTCTTATCTGACATCTTCGCACCAAGAGTGACCCTCGCTTAAAAATTTCAAGATTCTAGGTTGAACTGTTTCTTCTGGGCGTTGATGAATCGTTAAATCAGTCACACACTTCTAAAACTACCTCCTTATATCGACCCTACTCTTGATTCAGTTTCCAAATGTAAATGTTTTAGCTCTAACCGTTCGCATTACACAAAATGGTACATTTTAGTGCTTTTCGTACACTTATAGCGCGAATTTGGTCCATTAAACACTCCATCAGTACCCTCATTCCAAATTCAAGAGGTTCATGAAATATAAGGGCTACCTTTTTTAGTACTTTTTATATATCCAAAAACGCAGCCTTATCCGACTTCTTCGGATCTCACCCAAAAAAATCAAAATTCTAGATTCAGCCGTTTCATCTAATCGTTGATGAATCTTTAAGTCATTCAGTAGGTCAATTACTTTACCCTTTTATTATGTTATATCTCCGATATCTGACTATATACGTCAACATAATCAGAATTAATACAAAATACAAAGTGCTCAACCCATTTATTCGTGATTTCGTCGGAAATTACTTTCGGTATTGGAGGTTGCGTGGAAATTCTGGATTTTTTCCCACAAAATTACGGTCCATAATACATACGTGGAATTATATTATTCCATGATCAGGGGTACGCTTCTGGCCTGCCCTATGCAACATTTCTCACCGATTTTTCTGGAGTTGTAACTTGTAAAGCGATTGCAGAGTCTAAGAAGTTTTTGATTTTTCGTTTTTTTCATCCACAAAAAATAAATTGCTATCATTTCCAAAAGATGTAAATAAGCCTCCGTTTTTACTTTTCTGTGTTACATGTTTTAGTTTTAAATTTTTAGTAAAAAATTCAAAAATAGTCCATGTATTATTAAAGCCTTGTATGACAATGTTATTTCTTTTTTTCTCATTGTCCGACTCTACAAAATTTCCATAGTTTTTTTAAGTGTTTAACAAACAATATATCATCGATTGAGATGGTTGCACAACTACAACTACAAGTTTTGAGCATCCTCTTTGTGTAATTGACAATGTAATTACGCAATCAATCATTTTGATGTGACTTCGGGTTTCACACTTCATTTATTCGCAGAGAACTTGTAAATTTATCGACAGGAAAATAATCCTGCCTCTTTTTTTTCTCTTTTCTTAAGGCATTTTAAATTTTGTAACAGTGATAAAAGTCTTCCTTTACAACTTTTTTATTAATTCTTCGTTTTCTTTACTTTACATGCTTTGGGTGGTCATTGTCAAACCTATAGCATATTTTTCAAAAGCGACCAAAAAAGTAAAATCTAAGGTCATAGAAGACAGTGTAAAAATTTCTTTAGCTTATAATAGTCTCCATGTTATAAATTCAGATTTTCTTTTTTATACCCTAGACCACAAAGTGGACAGGGTATTATGTCTTTGTGCATTTGCTTGTAACAGGCAAAAAGAAACGAGATAGACCCATAGTTCCTTTTGATGATCTGCATAGAATAACATTCTGAGTCGATTTATGCATGTCTGTCCGTCTGTATGTCTGTCCGTCTGTCTGTCCGTCCGTCTCTCCATGTATTTTTGTAAACAAAGTACAGTTCACATTTATTGCCCGAACCAGATGAAATTTTGCACAAATCATTTGTTTGTTCCAAGGAAGAACCCTATTGAAATTGTATATAATCGGTAAAAAATTAGATATAGCACCCATATATATCTTCGTCCGATTTGCTTTTTATTGTGCACCAAACGTGTATTATCAGCTCGAATAGTATGGAATTTTGCGCATACAACCAAATTAGGCCTGAAAATAAGTATGCCAAATTTGATCAAAATCGGTTCATCTGAGTTGTTATATTTGTTACCCACAGCCGTAATGTGCACTCCGTAACAAAGATATTCAGGGAAATATATCAAACAGGAGCTCAGAAATATCTTTGTCAAATTTTAACGAGATCGGCCCAGATTTGGATTTGGCTCCCATATATAACTTCGTCCGATTTACCTTTTATTGTGCACCAAACGTGTAAAATTTGCCCAAATGGGATGGAATTTGGCACTTACGACCGAATTGAGTCTAGAAGCTAGTATGTCAAATTTTGTGAAGATTGGTTCAGATATAGATATAGCTCCCATATATATTGTTCATCCGAGTTGTTGAATATGTTACCCGCAACCATAATGTGCACTCCGTAACAACGATTTTCAGGGAAATATATCAAACAGGAGCTCAGAAATATCTTTATCAAATTTTATCGAGATCGGTTGAGATTTGGATTTGGCTCCCATATATCTTTATCCGATTTCTAATTAATTGTACACAAAATGGGCAATACAAGTCCGAATTTAAAAGGTGCAAATGCTTCGGTATATTTAGTCCTTTGAACTTTAAATTATAATTATAATCATAGCTTGTGTGATTGAATTCTCCCATAAAAACTTTTAATTGTTATGTGGAGCTCTATTAAATTAGCAAAGTTGTGGAGGATATCATAAAGTCGGCCCCGCTCGACTTTAAGACTTTCTTTACTTGTTTCTGATAGCTTTCGACCAAAATTAAAGTTTAAAAATGCGAAATGTCAGTGAATAAGACGGTAAATGAACAGGTCATAGGTAAATATTTTGTTTAGCTACGTATTGATATAATCCCCCCCATAGATTTTTCCAAAATAAAAAATCTCAAAAAAAACTTAATGACCCGATCAAGTGTTAATCGGTTTAACAGAAATATTCCCCCGATATTTTTAATAATATTCTCCCAATTTTTGTAAGAAACCTTAACTAGAATGTTACCAAAAATGTAAAAATGAGTGTTACTTCCCCACCTTCCACCCTGGGTAAACGTTGAAAGCGTCATACATGTGTCTCATATTTTTATACCCTCCACCATACAATGGAGAGTTAATTAAATTTGTCATTCAATTTGTGACAGCTCGAAACATTCGTCGGAGACCCTAGAATAAAATTATAATGCGATTTAGCGATGTCCGTCTGTCTGTCTGTGAGCTGTGAAATTTGACACATAATTATACGAAGGCTGATTGGTATTGAAAATAGGCTATATTGGTCTAGGTATAGATGTAGCCCCCATAAAGCCGCACCTAACGACTTTCGGTTTATTTAAGGTTTCTGCCACAATTTCAAACCAAATCAGCTTAAACTTTACATTTTGTGTATGCGGTCCATATAACGGTGCCTCCTGTTTTTTTTTTTTTTTTTCAATTATTTGAAAGAATCTATTACAATTCTCAAGCAAATTAGATGAAACTTGATAAGTGACGTACTTGAAAGGTCTGTCTTCTCCTTGACAAATATGTCTGATTCAGGTCCACTAAATTGTATAGCCCCATACAACGGGACCTCCCTATTTACGGTGTTTTGAAGGTTTCTGCCATAATTTCAAACCAAATTGGATGATAATATGGGTTTCGTCATTTCGTCAACCATATGGCTAGACAGGGTATATATAATTTACTACTGCCAAAACGTGTCTCATCGAAATACAGTTTTAGACCCTCGGAATCTATCTTACGATGTTTTTCCGTCCGTCCGTCCGTTCGTCTGTCTGTCTCGCTGGCTGGTGTGCGCGATAACTCTAAAATGGAGTATCCGATTTGGTCCAAACTTGGTATATCGTAATATTATTATCAAATATAGTTCGAGTTCGGTAATGGCAATATCGGACCACTCCTTCTGATACCTAACCCACAAAAGATGGAAATTTTTAAAACAAATATTTTATTTTTTTTTAGAAAGAGGAAGGCAAATCCGATTTTAATCCAACTTTGAAAATCACAATATTTGCATCAGTGCTAGGTCAGGTGCGAAAATCGACAACATGGGTTCACTCCATCAAGTACCTCCCCCACAAGGGGTCAACATATTGAATAAATATAACTTTTATAAAATGTGATGTAAGAGTCCGATTATCTCCAAAATACACAGATCACAATATTTTTATTAATAATATTTTATTTATTTATTAACCAAAGGTCTGGTGTGAAGATGGAATATATCCATAAAGTATCCTTCCCCACAAAGTGTCAACACTTTTTCAAATTAATCGATTTAGCGATGTCCGTCCGTCTGTGGAAATTACTCTAGCTTCCGAACAAAATTAAATAGGTTAATAAAATTTTTACACAAATGTGAATTATGTCTTCAGGACTTTTGGCATTGGAAATTGGCCATGTAAGTCCATGATTTGGTATAGCCCTCATATAATGGTACCTCTCATTTTTCGGCATTTCGGTGATTTAAGGGACATAATTCCCCGGAAATGTTTAAAATTTGGTATTTGACGTTCGTAATGGATAGTAGAGTCTAAGACAGAAAATTGTCTATGCAGGTCCGTGTCTTCGTATAGCCCCCATATAAGGAACCTCCCGATATTCGGTACTTTGTTGATTTTAGCGACATTATTTACAGGAATTGTTTCAACTTTGGTACTTGAAGTTTGAAATGAATACTACAGCCTATGGCAGAAAATTGTCTGTACAGGTCCACGTTTTGGTATAGCCCCCATATAATGGTACCTCCATATATTCCGTATTTTAATAATTTTAGCTAAATTATTCACCGATTTTTTTTTAAGTTTCGAATTTAAATATTGTAATTGCTTATGATAAAAGCTTCCTATACAGGTCCACATCGTCGTATGGACCCTAATATAATGGCTACATTCGGTATTTTTAAGATTTCAACAGAATTTCTAAGGGATTTTCTTTTTCTGAAAATTGCCAAATTCGTTCCAAATGGTGGAGGGTATTCACAGATCGGCCCTGCCGATTTTTTACTTTTTTACCGTTTTTAGGCTCTGATTTCCTAATTATTACGCAATGTTCACACATGCTGGCTTTATGCCCTTCCTTTCAATTAGCTGATCAACTGGTCACACTTCTATTATTAAGTTCAATACATTTCAAGTGCATCCACATTGAGTTCCCACTTTAAGCTTCAGTTAATCTATGTCATAATATTATAAATTATATTTTAAGTATGTCCCAATTTCATATTGAAAACTATGTAAATTTTGGCCACAAGCTATCCAAACTTTTTTTCTAATATATGACGAACATTATTACCAGACACACACACAACAAAACCCATTACCACACATTAACGCAAAGTGGAGGCTAGGACAAAACTAAACCTCATGTAATTAAATCAAAATTATTCTTTTAATTAGTGTCTAACATTGGTTTGCATTTGTGTGTGTGTGTGTGTGTACATGGTTTCTTGGTTTCTCTTAGACAACTTTCAACTTGTGGTCATGCTATAAATACACATACACATATTTTATAAATACACATGTATATGCAATATACTGGGGACTACACTTTAATGATATGCACACATACATGCTTAACTAGAGTACTTCACACCACGTTACCCAAGCAGGCTGTGGTTGTCCCAATATGGCAGTATTTGAACTGTTTTGGGCTACTCTGGGGTCAAATATTATGAACACATGTTTGATGTGGCATAAGAAGTAACAACAAATTACATCAAATATGTAACAAAGGTCAGGGTAGCACAATATGTTACGTTTTTAAGGCCTACATTCAAGAAGTTGTGTGTGCGGTCGAAGGGAACAACATGTGATACAATTTAAAGTTGTTGCAATGTAAATTTCAAAGCTTCAGTATGTGTTCCAACTGACCACTTGACAACTTGTTTTTGTATATATCTCTTTGGGGAAGGTATTAAAAGATTGAACCTACACATGCTAAACTTACATTAGATCTAAATTTAGCACAAAAATTGGAATTAATGAAAGGGTAAAGCCATTGAAATCCCAAAAGTGCAAGAACTTACACCGCAACAGAACGAAAATAGACTCAAAACAGCTAAAGAGTTGCTTCGCTTGGCCGAAAGTGGTGAACTGCCGAATTCGGTTTTCTCCGATGAGAAAACATTCGTTGTCCAGCAGTTTGTAAAAAAAAATGATCGTGTTTACTTGCTAATGAGGTCAGCGAAAATATTCTGGAGGGTGTATTATAACCTTGGGCAAGCAAACATTTTGGCCGCAGACCTTGGACATACCAACAGGACTGAGCACGCACCAACCAAGAATGGTTACAAAATGAGGTTCCTTCCTTCATATCCAGCGTACATTTGCAAAATCTCTGGATACCAATCCGTTGGACTATTGTGTCTGGAGTATTTTGCAAAGCAAGGTTGGCATTAAAAAAAATATCAAAGTGTCGATAACCTCAAGCAAGCGCTTTACTGGGAATGAGCCAAAATATCGCAGAGCAACATTCGAGCAGCGTATGACGGTATCATTGGCCGTTGGAAGGCCATAATTCGTGCCAAAGGTGACCAATTCGAACAAATTTAAACTTATTCAAAAATTTAATGCTATTTCCGACATCTTTTGTTTTCGTTCAATAAAATTTAAAAAAATGTAAGAATTATGGCGTTTGACTTTGTTACAGTTTTTATCTCACCCTTTATGTAAGCTATATCCAAATCTGAACCGATCTTGATAAAATTTAGCAGAGGTATTTCTGAGCTGTATCTGATATCTGATACCAAATATCGTTCTTGTGGATTGCTTATTACGAATGTGAGGGATTTAAACACCAAATCGGATTTGACATATATATGGGAGCTATAGGTATAGCTGAACCCGAAATCGGAAAAAGATATATATATGGGAGCTATATCTAAATTTGAACCGATTCTCACCAACAACATGAATAAACGATTCTCGGACTGACATGAATAAATCTACTCATAAAGTGATTCTGTGAAGATCCTCATCCTTCGAAGATGCGCATCCATCTCCATGTTACAAACAAAAGAACAAAGAGAGAATGGTGTAGGGTATATACACCAAAATAAACGAAATCACAAGTACACAAAAGGCACATCTCTAACTGAAAATAATAAAAAGGAATCCAAATTATAAAATTATGTTTTTAATAACGTCTAACACGGCATAGGGCGTAAATGTCGGGCAAATGTTGCGAAGATTTGTATGACCTCGTGGTTTCGGTCAAAATCCTAGTTAAAACTTTTGCAGGACTTTGTGACGTTACTTCAAGAATTAAATTAAAATAAAATGTTCTATATGCATGGAAATAAATTGTGGTATTTCTGTTCGAAACGTCGGAATATTTTCCTGAGTACATTTTTTTTATTTTTATTTTTTTATTTTTTATTTTTTTTTTAAATAAAAATTTAATCTCCGAACGAAATGGTATTTTTGATAATATTCGATAGAAAAGCTTACGTTTCGCCATTAAATAAAAGTTACTGCTAATTTATAATGAAAGTTGGGAAATTAACGGCCGATGTTATAAAGAAAAACAAGTAAAATAGAAGCTAAGTTCGGCCGGGCCGAACTTTTAATACCCTCCACCATTTCGAAGGAAATTAAGAAATTTCAAAAAAAAATCCAAAAACTGCCACTTAAATGAAAACCGTTATATGGGTACTATACGAAGACGTGGATGTGTATACGAAATTTTTTGTCATAGGCTGTAGTGCCCATTACGAACTTCAAATACGAAATTTGTTACAATTACAGTGAATAATGTCGCGAAAATCATGAAAATACGGAGTATCGGGAGGTATCGAAGACGTGGACCTGCACGGACAATTTTCTGTATTAGGTTGTAGTACCCTTTAGGATCTCAGCACGAAATTTCAAACAACAAAATCAACAAAATACAAAATATCTTGATGGATCGTCATACGGGGGCTATACGAAGACTTGGACCTGCATACAAAAATTTTTTTCATAGGCTGTAGTACCCACTAAGAACTTCCAGTACGAAATTTGAAATGGTTTCGATTAATAATTTTACTGAAATCGTCAAAATACCGACTATCGGGAGGTTCTGTTAGGGCTATACAAAGACGTGGACCTGCATATACAAAATTTTGTCATAGGCTGTAGTACTCATAACAAACTTCAAACTAAAAGTGTCAAAATACCGAATATCGGGAGTTACCTATATATAGAGGCTATACGAAGACGTGGACCTGCACAAACAACTTTCTGTTTTAGGATGTAGTATCCATTAGGATCTTCCAGTACAAAATTTGAAACGATTCCGGTGAATAATGATGCTGAAATCATCAAAATGCCGAATATTGGGGAGGTACCGTTATATGATTGCTATACGAAAACGTGGACTGACATGGCCCATTTACGAATTTACCCTGCCTACTGGTAAACTATGCATGTATGCAACATTTTAGCCCTCTATCTAAATTCGTTTGAAAGATAGCGTGATTACAACAGACAGACGGACATCGCTAAATCGACTTAGAATTTTACGCTGATCAAGAATATATACTTTGTTGGGTCTGACATGAGTATTTCGACGAGTTACAAACGGAACGACAAAGTTAGTATACCCTCCAACAACACTGCCTGTGTAGGTCCACGTCGTGTAGACCCCAATATAATGGCTAAATTCGGTATTTTTAAGATTTTAACAGAATTTTTAACGGATTTTATTTTTTTGAAAATTTCCAAATTCGTTCAAATAGTGGAGGGTATTCAAAGTTCGGCCCGGCTGAACTTATGGCTTTTTAACTTGTTATTGTTGTATTGTTATAGCCGGTGTGAAATTAACGGAACAATTGATTAGGATACTTACCTGTTTTCTTATTCCTACTTAAATTTTAACTGAATTAGAAAAATAATAATGTAACAAAACAATCTTACAGCAACTTTATTGATTCATTGAATATTGTACCACGTTCTTTATTCATACAAAAGTCCTTTGTTCCAATTTGAATAAAGAAAAAAATATGACATTATTTGTCTCTATGGTATCTCTCTGTACTTGATATTATGTTGGCTATGAAATGTATGGCATCGGGAAAGTACTGTCGGTTTGTTATTCTCATATCCAGGGCTTCTTCATACGACAAATCATTATAGATCCAATTATTTCTTATGTCCACATGTATGTGATG